TCTAGGGGTCCTTATTCTGGGGAAATGACAAGTGTAAAGTGTAAAGAGACACATAGGTCACTGATAAAAAGAGAAGCAATCTCAGTGTTTAAATGTTCACCTAAAGATTCGCCTAAAGCCTCTGTCATACAATTACATACGACTGAACTGAACCCGCTATGACACCTAACTCTCTCGATGCAGTGATAAGACGAGGTATCTGTGTCTACAGCACATGCCAGGTGTGGACAAAAGTAGTTGCTGGCCAGCTGAAGCACTGTAGCTTCCTCCGCATCTAGAATTATGCAATGTGAAGTAAGCTCTGCAAACACCAGCAAGCAATGAAATCTTTCACAGAGTCTACTGACAAAAGGCAAGCAGCCTGAAGAGAGGCTGCTCAGTGTGCAAGACCCTTGTTGTACAAGCAGGAGGGACCTGAGTGCAGATCCTAGCACCCACGCTTAAAAAAAAAAAAAAAAAAAAAAAAAAAAGAAGAAGCTGGGCATAGCTACATGACCCAAAGCTGTAGAAAGTGAAGGCAGGAGGATTTCTGTGTTTGCTGTGTGCCAGCCTATCTCCAGGTTCAGTAAGCAACCCTGTCTCAAGGAAATAAGGCCAGGATAGTGAACCTCTTCTCTGACCACCTGTCTCCTTCTCCTCCCTCTCCCCACCTCGCCCTTCAGAAGAGAGAAATAATGGGTATTGGTAAGGAGGTTGAAGAACTGGACCCTTCATGTCCACGGGTGGAAATGAACCCAGCTCAGCTCATTTGAACAATGGTCTGGCAGTTACACTGAAGGCTAATTGTGGAGCTGCCATATGGCCCTAAAGTTCGCTGGTTGGGATATATCCAACAGAAGTGAAAAACATTATTAGTCTGTTAGTGTCTATCAGTGTTCTGAGCAACCTCCCTCAGAGCACTGAAATCAGGAGCAAGATGAATGTCCATCAACTCATGAGCTAAGAAGTGAAAAAAGAAAGAGGTACTGGTACATGGTCCATCATGGACGAGCCTTTAAAATATGCTGCGTGAAAGTATGCAATGACAAAAGCCAGTTATATTAACTTTTCAGAATAGCCAGCGCCATGCTGTGGAACACGCCAGTAATCACAGCACTCACGAGGCTGAGGCAGGAGGATGGAGAGTTTGGGACCAGCCTGGGATATAAATCATGACCCTGTATTTTTTCAACAGTGTGATCAAATAAAGAAATGAAACACATTAGTGGTTGCCTTGGTCAGGGTGTGTCAAACAGGCATGGAGTGAAAGGTGACTGTTAACAGGTGTGGCGTTTCAGTGCGGGGCCACGAAAAATGTTCTAGAACTAGTTGTGATGGTGGTTACACTACTCTGAATGCACTAGAAACACTGAATTGTATACTCTGTGTGTGCCTGTGTGGTTTATGATTGCATGCATGTTTGTGTGTGTGCTCCTGGGTGTGCTCCTGGGGAAGACAGCAGTCAATACCCATCTCGTTCTCAATTCCTCTCCATGAGTTCCGGGGACACATCGGTCTTTGCCCCCTTTTCTGGGGCTACAGATGCACACGCCCAGGGTTTTGCATGGGTGCTAGGGACCTTAACTTGGGTCTGCTTGCCTGCAAAGCAAGGGCTTTACCCGTAGAGGCATCCTCCCCAGTCCTTGAATCACACTTTCTAAACCTGAAAAGTGTAGCGTGCAAGCTGTTAGAGTTTAGATATTAGCGGCAACAAAGTGGTGTGCGTACAAGTTCAGGTCATGCTGTGTCATCTGTTAAATGTGAAAGCTAAAAAGTCATCTAGAAGGTATGTTATTTTGTGTTTGGATGAAATGTAGATACCTGTTAGGTCCATTTGAGCCATAATGGCTGTGAGTTCCATCCTTTCTCTTTTTAGTTTCTTTCTGAACAACCCGTCCACTGATGACAGTGGGGCATTGAAGTTTTTCACTATTAATGTGTGTGATTTGAGTGTGATTTAAGGTCTTGTAATATGTTTTTTTACAAATGTACATGCCCTTGTATTTGGGGCACAGATTTGGCTAGCACTGGCTAATTGTCTTTGAAATGAAGTTCTTGGTTTCCCAAGTAGGTAGGTGCAACCTGCAGCCTCGAGAACATGTGTTCCAGCATCCTTACGTTTATGGCCTAATATAACTTCCAGACCACAACACCATGTTGTCCTAACTCTGTCACTGTGACATAACATAACTCCTGAGATAGCACACTAAGAAGGGGAGGCTTAACTCCTGAGATAGCCCACTAAGAAGAGGTTTAGCACCTGAAATAGCCCACCAAGAAGGAGAAGTTTAATGCCTGAGATAGCCCACTAAGAAGGAGAGGTTTAATGCCTGAGATAGCTCTCTAAGAAGGAGAGGCTTAACTCCTGAGATAGCCCACTAAGAAGGAGAGGTTTAACACCTGAGATAGCCCGCTAAGGAGAGGCTCATTTGGGCTTGTCTTTCCATTCCTACATAAAATGGCCCCATTGTTTTAGGCCTATGGCCAGGCAGAACACCACAGGGTGTGTGTAACCAGGGAAGGAACCACACCCTTTCACAGCAAAGGGAAAGGTAAGAAGAGACTAGCGTCCCACAATCCCTTCAATCCACACCTCCTCCACCAAAGCCCTGCCTCCTAAAGACCCTTGGCTTCCCAATAGCACCACAGGTTGGGGACCAACTTTTTAACATGAGTCTTTGGGAACTCTTACCTAAACCATACTCAGTGTGCTTTTCTATAGCTGTGATAAAACATTGACCAAATCTTAGGGGAAGAAGGAATTTGTTTCATCTTACAATTTCCGGGCCATACCCCATCCTTACAGGTAGCCAGAACAGGACCTGGAGGCAGGAACCTGGAGGCAGGAACTGAAGCAGTGACTATGGAGGGAAAATGCTTGCTAGCTTGTTTTTTGTGGCTTTCTCAGCCTGTCTTCTTATATAACACAGGCCATCTGTCCAAGGGTAGTATCAACCCTAGTAGGCTAGTCTCTTCCACATCAATAATTAATCGAGAAAATGCTTTACAGAAATGCACACTAGCCAGCATGATGGTGGCAAATCCTCAGCTGAAGTTCCCTCTTATCAGGTGACTCCAGCTTGTGTCAAACTGACAAAAAAAAAAAAAACCCTAAATAACACAATTAATCTCTTGTCAATTTGACACACAGATGCATCACTATTAAGCCATAACCCAGGATATCATGTTACTATCACAACACAAAAACATAATAACTTTAAAAATCTCACAGTCTTTAAAGACAAAAAACTCAGTGATTTAAAAAATCCAGTTTCTTAACTGTGGACTCTTTTAAAATAAAAAAGTCAACAAATCCAATAGTTTCTTATATCAACAGGGAAGACCATGGGCACAGTTACAGGCAGATCAGAGCAAACCCAAATTTTTTTTTTTTTTTTTTTTTTGGTTTTTTTCGAGACAGGGTTTCTCTGTAGCTTTGGTGCCTATCCCGCAAACCCAACATTTAACTCTGTAAAAAGTGCAGTGTCCTACGTCTGGGACTCACACACAATCTTCTGGGCTTCAAAGAGCGTGGGCAGGTCCCCTTCTCTGGCTCTGCCTACAGGTCACACAGTGCTTATCAGCTCCTGTCCCTGTGGTCATCTAACAGTCCTGACATCTCCAAATGTTGGGGTCTCCACTAACTGAGGCTGCACTTCTAACAATGTCCACCTCTCCTCTCCTCGGGGACTCTGACCCCGCCTCATGGTCAGCCTCAAATGGTCTGCCTGACCGCCTTCAAGCTTGCAGCTTCCATAATGTCAGAACCATGACCCTGTGTGTAGGGCAGGGGGTAGGGACTCTTAACACATCTCCAATTCAGTTGCCAGCATGTAGTGCAGCTTTGGGTCCTCTGGACCACAGTTTGTGTGCTAGCCCTGAGGGAGTATTTTCTAGACGGTTCTTCAGTTGTGCTGGTCTCTATCACACTCAGCTGACTCTTCAGCTCTGGCTGACCAGCATCGACTGTCCCACAAAAGCAAAGGTTTCACTTAACCCTTACAGTACAAATTGTCCAAAGCTCTGAATAATGTTAACCATTGCATGAGACTTTAGTCTGCCTCATTTTTAGGTTCCGCTTTCCCAGATGCATCTCCAACTAGAGAGGTAACGATATGTATCTCTGGCTGGTTGGGAACTTGCCACACAGATCAGTCTAACCTCAGACTTGTGGAGGTGCCCCCACTTGTGTCCTGACCTGCAGCACCATGCCTAGACGTGTGTTTGTTTTAGGACATTTTCCCATGTGTATGTATATGGTGAGTGTACATATGCGCATGTGGGTATGCAAGCAATCCTATGGACATAAATGTCCTCAGTACTTCACTTTATTTACTGAAGTAGGGTCTCCTGCTGAGCTCAGACCTCACCAGTTCTGGCTCCTATAACTGTACAGCTTCCCCAGGGATCCCCTGTCTCAGCCTCCTGAGTGTTGGAGATATGGGCAGGCTACCAAGCCACCCTGGCTTTGGTGTGGGTTGTATGCATTCGAACCCCACTTTTTGTGTTTTATCCACAGACCCATCTCCCTAGCCTCAGAGCGATATCTTAAAACCTCCTTCTGCGTTTTTATCCTTACCGGCACAGCCTTACAGAACCTACTATGAATGAAACAGCACCCGGTGCTCTCACGGTAAAAGAAAGGGAGTTGGGAAAGACAGGATACTGGCTTGAGACAACTGTTGCCCCAACATATTCTCCCACCCAGTCTCGTGGACCTGCAAGAAGCCATATTTTAAAAACCATGCTCTGTACCCACAGAGGTCCTAGCAAAGTTTAGCAGTCCCAGGTATTGTTTGAGTTTTGATTTCTACACAGAGTTCTAAAGTGACCCTTTAGGTGAGATGCTTCTCAATGAGACTTGGAAGTTTCTTTTCAGCACATTTATTACCTTTACAGGGTTTTTTTGGTTTTTTTTGTTTTTTTTTTTAGTGTTGCCTTTAATGCTAAGCCTCCCTTTTATAGAAACTATACCCTTTTATACCCCCACCTCCCACCACCATCCCCATCCCCCACTCCCTCTATCTGTTGCTGGTGTTGCGCTTCAGATAATCTGAGTAGCCTGTCAGGAAGAATTTTTGGAAGGTGTCGCTGTAGAAGATTCTGGAAGGGATCAGGTTCAGCAGCATTGCCTGAACAGAAAAATAGGAGTGTCTGAGCAAAGCGAAGAAATTATACCTCAGCCAGTCCTTGGAGTCAGTCATTGGAGGATGACTTTTTCTGACTACTATCAAGATCTTGCGACACTTTGCAATGGGGAACTTCTTAGACACCCGGGCTGTCCCTTTAAATGCCTTCTGAAGGACTTGTTAAATCACTCATGGGCTGACGACCCCACCACACCTCTTTGTTGTCCTATGGAGCATTGGTTATTTCTTCCTGAAACCCCATCTCCTCAGTGGCTTTCCTTCCCTGTTTCCTTCCCTTTTCCTTAGCTAGCTTTCCCATAGCTAAGGAAAAGCGTTCCTTTAGAGGCTCAACTTTACTGAAACACAGAGCCAAGGAGGCAGAGGCCGCTGCATGGAAGAGCCAGGTGTTCCTGTTTTTCCTACCCAAGAACTCCCAGGAGCCACTAAGTGGGGTCATTCTAAGTGGAGAAGTGGAGTCTCGTGGTTGTTTATAGGCTGAGGGCATCGGCCTCAGTTCTTACTACTATCTCCTACTGCTTTCCCCGGCTATACTGCAGCTGGCTGGCCCTGTGAGCTTGCGGTGAAAGAAAACACACACCCTTCCTCCCTTGCTTCAAAAGAAGTCATTGATTACCAAGATTTCATGAGCAAGACAGCCACAGGTTTCATCCCCAATCGTGACGTATTTCAAGGACTCTTTAACAAACTCTTCCGCAGTCTTGGTCACCATGTTGGTATTTAGATGCTTTGTCATTGGGGTTGAGACAGCATAAGGGGTCAGCACCTGCAGAGAAAGATAAAGAGCAGGACACAGCACTGTAAAGGCCATCGGAGACTGAGGTGTGAATGCACACTTCACCATCCATCCCAGCTCCTTTCTGCCTGTGAAACACTCTAAGGTCCTTGATAAAAGATGCAAAGTTGGCATGAAGCTGGAGAGCAGGAGGTTTGGTTGCTCAAGAGGCCTAAACTGTTCATTGCAAGGGGCTCAAACGCCATTCAGAGCACACACGGCAACTGGGAGACTCAGCAAACAAAGTGCAAGGCAGCAGTTAAAGCTGAAGTTCAGGACTGGGGATAAGCTCAGAAGTCGAGCGCCTGCATGAGGCCCAGAGTTCGCGTCCCAGCACTGCACACACAAATAAAAGGAACTCAGAATTGAAGTCCAGCCAAGCATAAATCACTCAGCATAATTTTGTCCCAAGTATTGCATTGAATGGGCTTACACTAGACAGTCAATCAGTCAGAAGTGGCAGCACAGACCTTTAATCTAAGGCTGAGCGATAGAATTGGCAGTCCAAGGCCAACTAGGCTACTAGTAAAACTCTGTCTCGACAGATTTATTCACGTTCCTTTGGAAATCAAATTTAATTACATACCCGATCACACACGTACATACCTGCTCACATATGTACATGCCGGCTCACAACATACATACCTGCTCACACAACATACATACCACGCAGCAAAGGGTCCACAGCATGCTTCCCCAGACAGCTCAGGCTAACCTTACACTTTCCGTGTAGTAAGGACCAGCTGGAACTCCTGATCCTCCTGCCTCCACCTGCTGAATGCTGAGATCATGGGCATGCACCTCCATACTCATTTTTATGCAGTGCCTTAGATAAAACTCGGGGCTCTGTCTGTGTTAGGCAGGCATTCAACCAACTGAGCTATATCCCCAGCCCCCACAGCATCTTTGAGCAAACACATCCATACGCAATTCCCTTCCTCAACCAACACCAGCATGAAGGAAGGCCAGCAGAAATCCCAGCAGCAGGAGGGGTTGTAGAGACAGCACTTGGCCTGGTCTTGGTCAGGGGAGCCCAGCAGAATCACTAGACCATCTTCACACATACAACCTGCATTGCAAGGGATGATGGACCACCAGCCAGCCAGCTGGTTCCTTCTCGGGAGTTCCCACACTGTCCGCCTCACCTGGATAATGATTCCTTTAGCTCTGTATTCCACATGCAGGGCCTTGGAGAATGTACACACGAAAGCCTGCAGTAAGAGAGAAAACACCTCAGGTCTGGAGTTTGCTTCCTCCTGCCCTTATAGACGGGATCCCTCAGGTTCCCAAGAGTATCACAGACACTTCCTGCTTGGAGGAGGAGGAAGATGCCCCGATGGCTTGTCACTCACCTTGGAAGCTGAGTACAGGGCATACAGAGGCCAGGGACAAAGGGCTGCCCCAGAAGAAATGTTCAAGATGAGGCCTTTCTGCCTGTAAGGCAAAGGAGCAAAGGCAGCACTGTTGGCTGTCCCATCCCACTGCCGCAAACACACCTGAGGGCTGGGGCTGTCAGCACCCACCCTCTAGGCTTCCGTGGCTCACAAGGGCTGGTTTTGCGAGAACTGTGAAGAAACATCCCCCATGATCTCAAGGAGGACACTGCGCGGTGACGTCACTCTCTACAGTCATGGAGGGCTTGGTCTCCAAACAGGACCTCTGCTAGGGCAATCGTTTCCCTGCCAAGCTACGAAAACCCAAACTGGCTCAGACAGGAAAGGAGGAAGGGACTTTCTAGTCTCCATGGGACCACATGCTCTGGAGCCCTTTGGGCTCATAGGGATAGTGTCATGTGGTGGGATCCATCTTAAATGGGCTGTGCTCACTCCAACGTCCCTGTGCTCTTCAGGGCTCTTGCTTATACCTCTCGAAATTTAGTTGGTTTTGTTTATTTCATTTATTGAGACATATTTATGTTGCTATATCATCCAGGCTAGCCTCGGCCTTACTATGGAACCCAGGTTGGTCTTGAATTTGTGGTGATCCTCCTACCTCAGCCTCCCTATTGCTGGATAAAATTCGATTATCTTTAATATTCCCAGTTAGATGCCTGGAGTGGGGTTGCAAGACACCGCAAATCAGAATACAAAGCTACCCCCTTCTTACTCTAGAAAAAATAAACTATCAACTATTTGCTCTTAATGAATAATGGGTGATGAAAACCAGCCCCTCATGAGTGTTGTACTAGGGTGCCCCAAATATGGACTATTAGAGAGACTGGGGGCAGGCAGTTTCCAGGGGAATGGTGTACTCATTCTGACAGAAGATGGAATTCACAATAAAAAAGGACATAGTCTTGATCTGAGGCCAACTTGCGTCTTTTATGTTCAACATGAGTTAATTTTCTTTGAAAGCCAATGTGTTTTCAAACAGCTGTTCTCAATCTCCTTCTAAAACATGTTACACTTGACCTTCACATACACACATGTATGTGAAACACTGGCCTGGCCTTCCCCCCATAATCACTGTGTTCTCTCTTCATAGGTTTTAGCCACCAACTGAAGCAGCAGCTTAATGTGCTCCCTCCACCACCACCAAGTCCCCAAGCAGTGGCTGCCAGGACAGGAAGCCACGTTGCTCTCTGCTTCTCCTGACAGGCCTTACCTTGACTCCATGCGCTTCAGAACAAGCTGTGTCATCTAGAAGAGAAGGCCAGGGTTAAGCCTTGAAAAAGAAACTTAAGTAGCAATCAACAGGGTCCTTGGAGGAAGTTGGGGAAGCTTAATCTTCCCAGAGGACCTTGAAAGTTATTGGCAACCTTAGAGGCCGTTCTGGCAACCTGAGAATCTGGCTAGAAGCCACAGCAAGCAACCTAGGCAGATGGCAAACCTAGACTATTCTCTAGCCTCTTTCTTAAAGCAGACAATCTTCCTTCTAGCATTCTGGAACCAGGACTGACCCCAGATAACTAAACCACAAATTACAAGGGATTATTGGGCTGGAGTCTGCCCTCAGAGGTTAAGAGCCTGCACTGCTCCTCCAGAACCCATGCTAGGCAGCTCATAACTGCCTGGAACTCCAGCTCCAGGGGGGCCGACACATATGTCATTCAGTGCACCTACTCACATGCAGGAATACAGATACACACATAATTTAAAAATAGGAATATAATCAATTAAATGTCTTTTTAAAAAGAGCCTAGTCCATAGATAACTTTGAGCTCAATTCAAAAAATACTCAACAACAAATACCTAGAAAACCCAGCCCTCTATCATCTTTTCTGACATAATAAATGTCCTTCTCTTAGAGACTACTAAACATTTATTAAAATATTAACTTTTAGGGAATTGCTTTAAAGTCCTGAGGAAATATTAGTATCTTCAGGCCTAGTGCATTCTGAATGCAAAAATAGGGTTTATATACTGGAGAGAATGAACCTATCTCTGTTTTCCAGATGAGAACAGTGAACAGACTGTGGCTAAGAGCAGTTTAGTTTCAGTTCGAGGAATGTTTCAGCCTCTGTGTTTTGATGTTAGCACACGTGTTCATCACGTACCTTGACTACAGACGTGATGTTGCAGTGGATGAGACTCTGCAATAGATAGTCACAGACAGAAGTCAGTCCAGTCCTAGGAGAATTGTCCTGGGAATAAGTTGGCGCTAACCAAGCACTGAATGCGCAAAAGCTGAGTGCCAATAACCCCGTTACATGCTCAGCCTGCATTCTGGCTCCTAGCTGAGGCTCAGTGGCATTGTTCTGCAGTCCTGCCCGTATGTGAGCAGTGGCAGAAGGAGAGTAGCCTTGAAAACTCAGGATGGAATAGAATCATAGGTGGTTAGGAAGTTTTTGATGAGCAGAGATGAAAAGGCACACCCTTTGTGTCAAGTTCTAGGGTGAGAAGAAAAATATCAAGACAGCCACCACGCAGCAGAGTCTGCCCTGACCTGGTTCTTGTCTCTCTTCCCTGAATCCTGATGATCAAGCCAGGGGTCCATACCTGTCTGAGAGACAAAAGCAGACAGGACAAGGAAAAGCTCACCTGGATCTCACCGGGAGTGTTCAGGAAACGGCTTGGGAGCAGGCTGGGGAGCATTCCAACATTGTTGACTGACAGAGAGAGGTAAAGGACGTCAGAGCAGATGGGAAATCTTTCTACAGAAACATGCACAAAATGATTTCTGTGTATGGGTGCTCATTGCAACATGATTTAATAACAACAAGGGAATGCAGGTCAGGGAAGTGACCCAACGAACAAAGTGACAGTTGTACAAACACCAGGACCTGAGTTAAAATAGAAAAGAAAGAAAGGGGCCTGGGGAGATGACTCAGTGGTTAAGAGCACTGACTGCTCTTCCAGAGGACCTGAGTTCAATTCCCAGCAACCACATGGTGGCTCATAATCATCTATAATGAGATCTGGTGCCCTCTTCTGGTGTGCAGGCATACATGCAGACAGAACACTGCATACATAATAAATAAATAAATATTTTTTAAAAAGAAAAGAAAGAAGAGAGGGAAAAAGGGAGGAAAAAAGGAGGGAAGGACTCAAAATATAAGGATGACAATAATAGAAGATATCTGACATTGACCAGTGGCCTCCATATGTACACAGACACAGACAGACAGACAGACACACACACACACACACACACACACACACACATACGCACACACGTCCATTTAGAATGTAAAAACATTAGAACTTGTGATAGGAGAGTTTTTTTTCTAGAGACAGGGTTTCTCTGTAGCTTTGGAGCCTGTCCTGGAACTAGCTCTTGTAGACCAGGCTGGTCTCGAACTCACAGAGATCCGCCTGCCTCTGCCTCCCGAGTGCTGGGATTAAAGGTGTGCGCCACCACAGCCCGGTGATACGAGAGTTTTTAACCATACACCTAAGGGTAAGAACTTCTGATCTCCTTCCTCCAGCTCCTGAGGGTTTGGATTACAGGGGTGCACTAACATGCACATGATATATAAGGTGCTGGAGCAGGAACAACTTGAACACTCTGTTATTGCCATCCACAAATGGATCACTAGGATTGAACTCACATCATCAGACTTGATGACAGGTGTCTTTATGCATCAAGCCATCTCACCAGGCCACTCCCAAAAGGGACTTCAATAGTCACTGAGGTGATTATCATATTTACATGGAAAATCAAGATTTGCATTTTTAATATACTTACCTAAAATTCCAATTTCTAAACCTTTAAGTTTTTCTTTAATATGGTCATAAATGTCTTCTTTGGTAAAATCTGCTTGCACAATCTTCACACGGCTTTCAGTGGTCCCCTCTGTATGAGAGACCACAGGTGTTTCTAGTAAGCCTGAGTACAATCATCCCTCTTGACTGTAAAGTCCACAGCAATACAATAGATTTTGTAGGACTGGAGAGATGGTCCAACACTTAAGAGTGCTTTCTGTTTTTATGGAAGACCCCAGGCTGGTTTCTAGCACAAACATTAGGTGGCTTACAACTCCTGTAACTCTGGCTTCAAGGGATCTGATAGGCACTTGCACACACCAACACAGACATACACACATAAACACAATTAAAAATTACAATGAAATATCTAAAAGAGAGTTGGGACTGTGTTTCTCAAAGTCATATCAAAATCATCAGGAATCTTGTTAGAGACCCAGATCTGCCTCTACCCCAGACCTACTGGTTCAGACATACTGGCCTGAGCCAGACTGGCCTACATAAGTCACCAGGTGATTGACACAAACTCAGGTTTGAGCCCCTGGAGGAGGACTGTGCACACCCTCGGATGCTTTCATAACTCAGCAGACTAAGGTCCCCTCAGCATAGACACAGGAGTCCTATGCTCCAGAATCCACATACATGGCAGCTTGTCCCCCACAATCCTGAGGGAGCAGACACTCTTCTTCCCATTTTCCAGAGCAGCAAATTGAGGACAAGTTAGTGGACTAACTTGTCCACAGAACCTATTCTTCACTCCAAGTTTAGCGCCTTCTCTGTGGTTTTGCGCTCACTTGCCTGGGGGAAGGCCTTTATAGGCAGTGGTGACAGCTGCAGGTAGAGGTGTCCCAGTCTCTCTCAGAAGAGCCTTGACTTTGAGTCTAGACCCAGCTCCTCTGATCAAGCAATCAAGAGACCTAACATAAGAGTCAAGGATCCTTTAATATACAAGGCAGGACTTGCTTTCCTATAACGTGACAAAAAGCACATTCAACACCACGAGGAAGACACTCAAGAATGCCTTGGTCCTAATCGGAATGACTTCTAATATCCAGATGCCAAACAAAAGTCAAATTCACCCGTTCAAGGGCAGGGAGCCTCCACAGTTTGATCGCACAGCCCCCACCTCCACAACCTTCTTCTATTCTGAACCTCCCCCAAAGAAACAAAGCTGACCCAGGACAGCCTGCTGTGCTTTAAAAAGCCTTCATAATTAAAGATTCATACCTTTGCCTTGATACTTTACTTAATTATTAACCATGTAATTATTAAAATTTAATATCTAAAAATAAGGATTATGAACATAGAAACAAATAACAGACACTATTTCTGGCTTCGAAGAAAGGGACGAAAGCTAAGAGGCAGCTAGGGCTCTGGCTGAGCAGGGCTGATTCTGAGGGTAAAAGCCCAGAGAAAACTTTTCCTTTATCCAGGCCACAGAATTCCTTATACCTTGTCCTTCCCTTTGTATACTGGGCCCTTCTGTATACAGCGGGCGGGTGGCAGCCCAGGCTTCCGGCAGCAGACATGGCATGAACAGGCAGGACAGTGCCATGTTTGACCAGTTCCATGCATACACACCCGCCTTGCTGTGTGGGATCACTCACCAATCTCCTCTGCAATGGCCTGTAGCTTTTCCAGTGTCCGGCTGATAAGTACAACGTTGAGTCCATGTTTGGCCAGCTGCAGGCAGGAATGGAAAAAACAGAAAGATGCTAAGCAGATGGGAGGCCTTAGTTGTGTAGAAGGTCCTTCTGTCCCTGACTGCACCATAAGTCTCCTGCTTCCTCCTGTGATGGAGGTTCCCATGCTGTGAGTGAACAGCCATTGTGGGTAAGGCTGAAGCCAACACTGTAGCTGTTGTAAGTGTCGCTGTGTGCCCATTATATGGCAAGAGTCACTGTGAGAAGTCTTGGCAGGATCATCATCTGGGAGTCCCTGTTTGGAACTGGTGGGGCTCCCTGTAGCCAACTGTAAAGTCTGGGGGCTGCAAACCTTACTTTTTGATAGAGACTCTAACTGGACTGGAACTTATCCACTAGGCTTAACTTGTCGGCAGGCAAGCCCCAAGGTTTACCTGCCCTCACCACTCTAGTGCTGGGATCACAAGCAGGCATCAGATCACCTGGCTTTCATGTGTGTACTGGGAATCGATCTCAGCAATGCAAACACTTATGACTGGGCTATCCCTCCACACTTTTGAAGTGTTATTGGGTGACTATCAGGGTAGCAGGGCTTACAGGCAATGCCAGGCTGCCCAACACTGTGAGCTCTGGTTCCCCTCTGACAAAGCATCTCCTAGATCTACATGGCACCCAGAGACTCAAGGTGTGCGTCAGAGACTAACCGGACTCTGTCTGGGTGTTTTCACCAATAGTATGCACTCATTTCCTTCTCTCCCTTGGGCTCCATGGCTCCTGCTCCACTTTCTGCAGTTCCACCAGGTTGAGTGCTACTCCCTTGCGATAAAACAATTCCTCAGTCACTCAGCATGCGCCTCCTCCTCCTTTCTTCTTTGGAACACTGATGGGAAACTATACAAAGCCATTTTCCCAAACTGCAGTTCATAAGTGCCTGATAAAATCCTTTGACTTTTGCAGCTTTTCATCCATACTTGTCTCAGAGGTGTTTACCTGGTATTGGTGAAACAAATGTAAGTGTGTTTTCAAAAACCTTTTCATCTTCCTTACGTCTTCCTCATGTAGTAAGTTAGTTATGAGGGTGGATGTTTCAAGAGAGGTGCTAAGATAGAGGAGATATCACTGGGCCTAGCAGGATGCTCAAGTGCTTGTCACACAAACCTGAAGACTCGAGTCCAAGCCTCAGTGCCCATGTAAAAATCCAGATGCAGCGCTGGGCGGTGATGGCACATGTCTTTAATCCCAGCACTCGGGAGGCAGAGGCAGGTGGATCTCTGTGAGTTTGAGACCAGTCTGGTCCACAAGAGCTCCAAAGCCACAGAGAAACCCTGTCTCGAAAAACAAAAACAAAACAAAACCAAAAAAATGCCAGATGCAGCACGACCAATAAACTCAGTGCAGGGGAGATGGAAACAGAACTATTCCAGGAGATAACATGTCTAGTCAGTTAGTGAGTTTCAGGTTCAGCAAGAAGAGACCCTGTCTTCAAAGTAAAACAGGTGGAAAGAGTAAAGGAGACACTCAGCATAAGTCTCTGGCTTCCATATGCACATGCATACACACGAGTATGCACATTCACCTGAACACACACACTAAGATATAATAGACAGCACATCATAAGGTGATTTGAGAAAGAGAAAAAAGCCAATATTTGTGTGGTACAAATTATACATTCACTTCTTGTACCTAGCTAGTAAGAGCTTCCAGGCCTTGCAACTTCCTGCACATTGGGAACGATAAGAGTCTCTTTCCCATGCAGGAGAGGATAAGAGCATCATTCCACATGAGACAGAAATTCCAGGAATATCTCCTGCTCCTTCTTCGGTCTTGGTCCCTCATTCCTACCCCCTGAGAATCTTGGAATATTCTAAATACTAAGTGTCTATCAGAACACCAATGACAGCTGCTGTCTGGAGACCCTAGAGAGCTTCAGGGTTCAGGATAGAAAATTGCCTAACTTTGGAGTGTTTGTGTTATAGCAACAAGAGCAAATGAAAGCAATAAAGACAAACCAAAAGAGAAAGACAGCTCTAGTAAGTCCATCAAAATCAGCATTAAAACAATTAAATATTGTTAGAAACAGACATTGTGAAAGGCTGACTCCTACTGGAGACACACCAGTCCTAGTCCTGGTTACCCAGATGAAAAGCTTTACACGGAAGAGGTAACACAACAGGGGGTAAAAATACACCAGCTCAGCTGGAGATTTTAATTGCTGGACGAAGCAATAGACATTTGGTAAGGAAACAGAGTATAGAAACCACACAAATGTTAAGCTTCCTCTTATGAATCCATACCAATATGAAGCAAGAGTTCATCCTCTGAACGCTGTCTCTGAAAATCCTGGTAAGAGCTGAAGGAAAGGCTCAAATGTTAGAAGCATTTGCTGCTCTTCCAGAAGTCCTGAATCTCCTCTCCAGCTCTAGGGGGATCATCTGCAGGCACCTGCACTCAGGTCCACACACCCTTTCCCCAGCGCACAAACATAATTTAGAACTTTAACTTAAAAGTTTACACTATACATGTTTTATATCCATAGACTTATATATAGATAACATGTTCTCTTTATAATTGGCACGTAGTAATTCTAATGTGACATTGCAGTGTGTGTGCACAATGTGTAAGGATCACTTTGTGGCCTGGCATATCTGGTATCTCAGATACAGATCACTCATTTGTGTTTGAATATTCAAAATCCTCTCTCCTGTTTTGAAATAACCAATGAAGTTGTTATCTAAGCCCCTGAGCATTTTAAACTTTCAGGCCACACCAGCACCGCAGCTGGGGCAAAGAAGCCAGATAAAGAGTACTGGGTCCTAGCTTTTCCTAAAGTCATTAGCCCAAGTGCCCTTGTCTCCCTCAGAACTGAGTTCAGGGCATGTGTACAAAGAGGAGATGAGCCTTAACAGCCAAAACAAGGCAGGAAGTGAGGAAAGACTCCAAAACACCTCTCCTCCAAAGAGCACAAGGACCTGCACAACAGTATGCAGAGCAGACTCCTCAGCCCTGAACAGCTGACCCAGGAACATCTGTGGGAGGCAGCAAACCTGCCAGGCAGAGGATCCAGCAAAGGGGAAGAGACTAGCAGGGAAGAGAGGCTGCCATCCTCAGAGGATTGAGAGAAAACCAGAAAGGCTGTTTCTTAAAGCTGTGTTAAGTGCACACACACACACACACACACACACACACACAGTGTTCTCAGAAAGGGAAGGTATTCTTGATTTCTTTGGAGAGGGGCAGGCAATTAGACAGTTCTAGCCAGGTGTGGTGCATACGCCTGCAAATCCCAGCACATGAGGGAGCAGGAGGGGTTGCTGCAAGTGTGGGGCTAGGCTGAGCTGTGGAGCAAAACCCTGCCTTAATTAAAGTATACCCTGGGCTATACAACAAGAACCTGTCCCCTTGTTTTAGTTATTTTTAATTTTTACATCAGAAAAGAACATAGTAAAATAAAACAAGGCTGAAAAGACGGTGCTGTGGGTAAAACCATTGCCCTGCAAGCATGGGGACCTGGGTTTGGATCAGTAGGAACGTGCAAAGCCAGACCAGGCAGCACACATCTCTAACATTGCTCCGACAGCAAAGTGGAGATGGGTGGTGGAGAAAGGCAAAGCCCAGAAGCTCGCAGGCCAGCTAGGAAGGCATATGGAGCAGGAGACAGCAAGAGACCCTGTTTCAAAAGAAAAAAAAAAAAAGAAACAAAATGAAAAAACCCGAGTGTTAATAATAAGGCAATAAAGATTAAAAACAAGTGATTCAAACTGTCCCACAGAAAGAATTCCAGGCACAGATTATCTTCTGGGTAAATTCTACCAAACATTTCAAAAAAAAAAAAAAAAAAAAAACCCAATCATTCCAAAATTGCATAATCCTTTAAAAGAATAAAAAGGAGGCCAAGTTCTCTCTTTTCATGCAGTGCCTATAACCTTGACACCTCAGATTCTCTAGAAGACAAACACCGTCATTTAGTCCAGCTGATCACCAGGAAGCACAGCCCATGACTCAGCAGTTTGTTCTCACGGATGCTGTTAACTGACGTGCGTGTCCTCTAAGAGACAGAGGCCGGCATATGGGAAAGCACAGGTGTCTGTGAACTGAGGAAAGCAAGGCTACATCGGGACACAGGGGATGCTACAGTAGAGTGATAACAGGATACCATTTCCTGAAGCCACCAGGAACATTGCCTCCAGAATGTTCTTATCTGCCACACTGTGGGGGGAGTAGCCCCCAACTGTTCAGATAAAAAGGAATGAAAATAAATGACTTTGCATAGTGTTTTTTGTTTCTGGGATTCTCTGGCCATTAACAACCAAAATATGCATCAATGTGACCACAAGCCAACTCTATACTATTTAAGGCTATAGTTTGGTGAATAGGGACCTCGGCTTATCTTGGGTACCGTCAGGTCATATCAGTCTCATAAGAACAAGTTGGCAGTGGAGTCCAATACTGAAGTTCAATACCAACCTAGTTGGCAGGCTTCCTGATAAGGTACACTTGGCTAACACTGTAACACAGACACACAAACATACACAGACACACACGCATGCATGCACCCCACCACAAGAACAACTAAAGTCAACTTAATGGCCATCCCTGAAGGCTGGCACCAGACATGAGACTTCCTTGAGATAATCCACCCTGAGAACTGTTATGGAGAGCAGGGCTGTCCGAATATCTGAGCTGGAATCACAACCCCCAAAAAGAGAATAGTCAAATACCCCATATAAATATTCATAGATGAAACATAGAATGCAGGCAGAGGCTTTTCTTGTTACATGCCCAAACAGATTGCAATGCGACTCTTGCCCAGGGGGACCACGATGACTGCTACCTGAGAGATTCTCATCTGTATCACCTCGAATAGATTGACAACCAGGAATATGCATCTCCTGTACCACCTCCCTTCTCCCCAAAGGTCCAGTCCCTATCTCCTTTTGCCCTACATAGAGTCCAGCTATTTTGGCCCCTCGTGAGTCTCACACACGGATGGCTTAGGATGGTTTGAAATCTGTGTCCTTTTGCATGTTATCTGTCTGACTC